ATATATTTTTTCAAGTTTTTCAAATAATTCTGAATTTGATTCTTTCATAAAATCCCATAATGTATCTTGATTTGTTTTATTATCTATTTGCATAATTGATGATGAAGAAATTAATGTTGGTTGTAGGGATGATGGACGTGGCAGAGTTGGTGTTAAAGAATTTTCATCAATAATTGAAACAAAACGAACAGGTTTAATAGGTTTTTTTATTTCTATTTTAGAATTATTTGTTGTTATATCATTATTATTATCATCATCATCTTCAATTGATATTACAGCAAATGATAGAACATTTGTTGAAATTTTTTCAAAAACTGCAGACTTTATTTTATAAGGAAATAATTAATATTTAAAAACATAACCTTGAGAGTGGTGTCACATATCCAAGATTTTGGAGAAGTGCTCACTTCTCCCACAGGAGATGCGACATCTCCTGTGGGAGATACGGCACCCACACTTGGGAGATGCGGTGATTTGCTGTTGGAGATGTATTATCTCATTGAGAGATGTGCATCCCCCACATTGGATGCTGCATCTCCTACTGAAAATGCAGCATCTCCCGGCAGAGATGTGAGCACTTCTCCAAATTGCAGGATATGTGACACTGCTGAATTCGACCAAAAATAGGATTATAGCCTTGTATATTTATTCGATGTTTTTCTTTTTTTCTTTTCTTCATGGACTTGTGACGAATACAACATGTAGAAGATTAGAATGTCAGGTACATGATCGAAGGTTATTTGTTTTGTTTAAACACTTGTTTTATTCATTTAGGGAAATAGTATTCATGGAGCTGGCACTGACGCATTAGCAAAAGTACTACGAAGAAATAAAACATTATAAAAGCGAGTTGAATTATAATGAATAGAAATGCTTGACATCGAAGCTGGTCCTGAAAAAAAAGATGTCATTTATGATAATTATTTTCTGCTGATTTTATGTTCATTTGAGCGATTAATAAGTTTTTTGGGCAGAATGGTAGAATAGAAAATGATGAATTTCGGTTTGTTACTTCTTTATAATAAGAATGTAAAATACATATTTATGATTGAATAAAAAAAGAATTAAGATTTTTCAGATTAATTCTTTCAATATTATAAAATAAATCCCAACCATTTTCAAACTACTATCAAGAATGTCATCAGCAGTTCATCTATGACGGACCTTGTGCAATCTTCGCTTATGATAACGGTAATACACGGTTGTATTTCTGAGCTTTATAAAGACTAAAGCCTATTACTCATTTCTTAACACTCTTAAATAATTTGCGGATTTGTAGAAGCTAGCATTGATAAAATAATCGTTACTACGTTCTTCTAATTTATGATTTGCACATATTATTTAGTTTACGACTTGAATGGAATCAAATAGGTGCTATGGATTCTCCAGCTTTTAGTAGTTTTTGTTATGCTCGTAGTATTAATAAAAGTTTAATTGAACTTGATTTACGTAATAATGATATCAGTCATGTCGGCAGTTGTGAATTAGCAACAGCATTAAAACGAAATGTGACATTCTGTTGTAATAACAATAAGAATGAAGTTTTATTTTTTTTGATAGGTCTTTGGCTGAAAAGTCAACAAGCTACAAGAATCATAAGATGATCGAAAATTAGCATTTAATGCTGTATCCAGTGATTGGATACTCAGTAAAATACTTGGTACTTTCGATACTTTTAATGAGTATTCTCGATTACTTAAGTACAGTCTAATAGTGTCGGTAAATTTACTTGTATTGAAAGATTGTACTGAAGTACCAATATTTGTACTAATTTACTGGAGTACCAGTATTTTAAGTACAAAATGTACTTTAATCAGATATCAATATCCTTATATATTAC